TGCGGATATCTGCTTTATAAGGGGTTACAAAGTATCATTATTATGCACAAATTACAAATCAGGAGACTCAGAGAGATTACGTAACTTGCCCAAAGACACACAATGGTAGAGTAATCAGTGGCATACAGCCTATGTTTTTTGACTTCCAGTCCAGTGCCTTATCCGATGGACCACTCTACCTCCTCTTGGGGAGCTCAACTTTCACTAAGAGCGAGAAACAAATGTTTTGAATGAAAAATTGTGCAAAAAGTTGACACTTTAAGGCCGTTGCATACACTAGGGGAAGCATCTCACTTTCCAGGGGCAAGCAGATTTTTCAAGGCCTGAAGAGTACTCACATGTCATGACTCTGCTATCTGCTTCTGATTCAAATTCACAAAGCTGAATAGGTACCAGTTTTAAGTATACATCTGATAATGATTTTAAATTTGCTTTTAAATGTTAAGTGATCTGAAACTATTGCAGAAGATACTACGTACAGAACCGTTGTTAAAATGAATAGAACAAGTGACACAGTTGACTTATAAGAACAAATTCTGTAAGAAAAAAACCATACAATTATTCATACTTTTTTTTTTAAGGCTTCACTCTCATAAGTCTTTGGTGGGATAAGGGTGTTAATTAAAACCAGTGGGAAAATATTCAAAAGTGATTTCTCTTCACTATGGACTCAGAGTCTCTCTGTCCCTCTGATTTGACCAAGACAGTCTTGTGTTTATTCTGCTTTTCCCATAATAAGAATTGTTATGTCTGAAACCACCAAAGCACACATTCCCAAACCAAAGTCTCTGCCCAAATCATGGTTAACTGAAAAGGTTGTCTGAGCTGGTAGGAAAATGATAGAGTGAAAGAGACTGGCTTGGAGACAGAAGAACGCAGGACAGACTGTGAGAAACTGAGCAGACACATTCACAGGCTATGTGGAAAATTGTGAATGGTGTATGGATGACTAGAAATTGGACAGAAGATTGGATGAAGGGAATTTTTCTGCCCATACCAAAGAAGGGAAACAGAGTGCAGTAACTATCCTATCATTTTCCTGATATCTCACATGAGCAAAGTTCTGCTTTGATCACATGAAACAAAGGATAGAAGCAGAACTAATACCACAACAACCTAGTTTCAGGGACAGCCAAGGCACATGAGTAAATCATGACTGTCACATCACTGAAAATGAAGAGAGTATGATCGTCCATTGATCACGTGCTTTGTACACTGCGCAAACGCATACGATGCCACCCAATATGACCATCTTTGGAGGATACTTGCAGATATGGGGATTTCAAAGCAACTCATTGAACTCATTGCAAGTCTCTACCCCCACCAACAGAACACAGTGCAAATAGCAGTAGGTGACAGGGAGTGGTTTTCCCCTGTGCGGGGGTGTGAGACAAGGATGTATTTTGTTCTCAAGCCTCTTTAACTTATACAGAGAATTTATTATGAGACAAGCCTTGGAAGGTTTAACAAAGTGGAAGGAGCTGAGATCTCCATAGGCGGACACCTCTTAACCAACCACAGATACGCAGATGAAACACTCTTTGCTACAACCACGGATGCAATGCAACAAAAACTGGAGTCTGTAAAAACAGTTACTGAGGAATATTCCTGAATGTGATGAAAACAAAATACATGTGTGTGACTTGACTAACAAAAACAGGATGCAAGTGGAAGTCACAAACTATAGAGGCAGTAGATTAATTTAATTATCTGGGATCATATATATCCAACCAAGAAGATTCTTCTGATTTCTTTAGAACTGCCTAAGATTGGAATGGCCTCTCTTAAGAAAGTGTGGGAAAACCACAGCACCTTGAAATGCACAAAGGAGTGTCTGATGAAAAACCTAATTTTTTCCATAGCAATTTATGGATGTGAATTGTGGGAAGTTAATGCTGTTGACAAGAAGGAAACTGAAGCTTTTGAAAGGTGGCACTGGCAAAGACTCTTGTGTATCTCTTGGACAGAAAAAAGAACGAATCCTCTGTTAGAAATATTATTGGAGAGAAGAAGACTCTGATGTCGGAAAACAACAGACACAAGCCTATGCACTTTGGTCAAAGGCGTAGAGTTAGAAATAAACTTGAGAAAGTTACTGTGGAAGGAATGGTGGGTCATCACAGTAGGGGATGACAAGAAAGTAGATGTATGGCATGTGGCATGTCACTGGAAGATCAGTTGCTGAGTACTTAAAGGTTTCAGAGTAGCAGCCGTGTTAGTCTGTATTCACAAAAAGAAAAGGCGTACTTGTGGCACTAAGTACTCCTTTTCTTTTTGAGTACTTAAAGTTAGCGATGGATTGTGAAGGCTTTAGAAAATTCTGCTACGATGTCACTGATATTCAGATATGAATAAATGGATGTACTTACTTGTGCAGACACCTAGGCCTGTCTCCCTTAACCAGTAGGACAGTTCTGCACCTGTATGAGTAAACAGGATTCTGCATAAACTACTGCTCCCTTTGAGAGAAAGAGCAGCAAGACAAGGCAGTTGAGATTTTGTATTGACAGGGCATGCCTAGGGCACTTTCTTTTGTTAACCAGGAGACCCTATGAAGATTTAGCTTTGTTTACATAAAATCTTTAGTTTACTCTGCATCCCTTGAAACACTCAGAAACAGACTATATTGAAATTCAGCTCAGAAAAGATCAGAGACATAGGCTTTAAAATATCCGCTTATCTTCCCTGAGAGCTTGAAAAAGCCAGCTTGTGCTGTCCCCTAATACAACAAAAAGTCACATGTCACCAATGAAAATTTCATCAACTTTATCAAAATATTTTTTTACAGGATACAAAAAGAACAGTCAGTGTCTCGGACAAAGCAACAGAATCAAATACATAACATTGGTTTCTTGCAAACTATCTTAAACCTAAAAGGTCCATGAATTTTATCACTGTGACCCTAGAAATAAATGAGGGGGGAGAAAGACCAAGACTCAGAATAAATACACTGCAGTCCTGCAGGTAAAGAGAGGTCTAGGTTTTCTTAACAACAAAAACACACTGTACAGTCAGCTCTAAGGTTTTGTTGCCTGAGGCTACCCAGAAGATTGAACTCTCACTTGTAGTCCCCCAGTTCCCTGTTGCTTACATTAAAAAGAACAGCCAATAAATATTTAGCTGTCCCAAGATATTGTCTGTCCTTTCTATGTGGTAGAGCTCCAGAATCCTGGTTACATATCTCAATGATCTTGTAGCCTCCCAATTAAAGGAATAAGATGAAATGTTTTGATTTTATATCTAAAACCCTTCAAATGGTTTGGGAGCTGGCTACTTAAAAAGCATCTCTCTCTGTGTGATTCTACAGCAGCTATGATCTGCTATCAAGCTGATAGCAAGAAGTGTTTCAGTGAAAGGTACTCAGTTCTAGAAGATACATACAAGAGCAGAAGGGGCCATTGTGACCATGATCTTTTGCCATAAAATTTCATCCAGAAATTCCTGCATCAATCCCATAACTTAGTATTTGGCATGGCAACTCCTCCATCAGAAATAATAAACAGGCTTGGAACGAATGACAACATTTGTGCTTTTTCGTCCTTAGAAGTATCTACAGTGATAAATGGACAATACCCAACAAAGCCATTTACATAGGTTACAGTGGCCCTGGGGAAACCCAGTGTCAGTTTAATGTGATACATCCTCTACCATGGCACTCAATACTGTCCAGGTTGGAAGGCAGACTTGAAGAACTATTTTCATGTTGTCCGTGCCCAAGAGCCTGACACACCTCATCTTACAATAGTTTGGTACATCATTTGGTGTAATTAAAAACTAAATATTTTATATGCTTGTGATGTTCTTAGCTTCACAGATTCCAAGGCCAAGCAGGACCAGGATTATCACCTAGCCCTGTGGTTTTCAAACCATGGTCTGCAGACCCCTGGGGGTCCGCAGACTATGTGTAAGGGGTCCGCAAAAGGCTGTCGTTGCCACAGAACAGCAGTTACAATCCTCAGGGGTCCGTGGGCTATGTCTAAGATTTTCAAAAGGGTCCACACCTCCATTCGCAATTTTTAGGGATACACAAATGAAAATAAAGGCTGAAAACAGCACTTAATTTGTGTCAGGGCTCAGCCCTGGCACCTTTAGGCTTAGAAGTTCATCGCCCAGCACCTTTGGGCTTGCGGCATCAGGTATGATTATAAAAAAAAATTGTTTGAACCCCAGCACCTAAATGTGTGAGCCCGGGCGCCTCTTTCATACAAATTAAGCACTGGTTGAAAACCACCGATCTAGTCTCAGGGGGTAGCCATGTTAGTCTGTATCCACAAAAACAACAAGGAGTCTGGTGGCACTTGAAAGACTAACAGATTTATTTGAGCATCAGCTTTCCTGGGTAAAACCCCCACTTCTTTGATCCTGTATAACAGGGGCCGGAGAACGTCCCCCAAATAATGCTTCGAGCAGAGCTTTTAGAAAAACATCCAGTCTGAATTGGAAAAACAAAATCATCCCCGATGAAGAAGTCCCCCGGACCCTGGGAGAGAATCACGGCCATCTCCCTCGAAGGATATAGGTATTTCTTCCCCCCTCTCTCTTCTTTTGTGATGTAAACTCCTCAAAGGCAGGCTGGCCCCCTCCCTTCGGGGAAGAAAACAACAAACAGACGGAGGAGAGAGGCGGGGGCCCCGTGAAAGCCCCAGCCCAGGCTCCGTTCGCACCCGGGCGGGGGAGGGGGTGGCGGCTGTTGGCTTGGCAGCCCCGGCAGACTCGAAAGGACAACACCCGCGATAAGACAAGGAAGCGGCTCTTCCGCCTCCTCGGGTAAGCCGGGGAGGCCGGGCCCGCAGGGAGGCGCGCTCCGCCCCCTTTTCCTGCCCGCTGAAGAGCCCGCGGGAGGCTCGGAGGAGCGCACAGAGCGGAGCGCGGCGCACTCGGAGCCAGCAGCCGCAGCGGGCACAGCCAGCGCCCACGCACCGCGCCGCCCCCCGCGCCGCCCCGCCCCGCCCCAGCAAAGGCGATTTTGGCTCCGGACTAGGCGGCGTCGTTTGGAGGCGGGAGCAGCAGCAGCAGCGGCGGCAGGAGCAGCAGCAGAGCGAGCGCTGGGTGTGGAGAGCTTCCCGGGGGGACCTCGGCTCGGGGCGGCCCAGGTAAGGCGCAGGATTCAGCCGCCCGGCGCGGCCCGGAGGGGGCGCGATGGATTTGAAGGGGGCGCTCGGCCGCCGCGTGGATCCGCAGCCTGTGCCGCTTGTCTCACGCGGTCCGCTCTTGCGCGGCGCCTGCAGCGCGACCAGCCCCCGCTTCTGCCGCCGCCGCCGGAGGGGCCGCCGGGCCGCAGCGGGCTCGGGATCTGCCCCGGCGCCCAAACTTTGCGGGAGGGAGCGGCCTCGAACTGCGGCGCGGGCAGCGCCCTGAGCGCGGAACGACCCTTCCTCGCCCCGCCCCGCCCGCTCCCTCAGCGAGCCCGGCTGCTCCCCCCGCTCCGGTTTGGCGTGTAAGGGGATCGCTGTATTTTATATCGGTGAGTCAGATGACATCGGTTAAGTAGGTGAGAGCCGATTTGGAGTCAAGCGGCGAGGGCACATCGAAATTGGTTTTTGAAGGTCGTGTCCCCCCCCCCCCCCGCCTTACAGGGAGGCTCTTCCTAGCCTTGCCGGTGTGAGAGACATTTAGAAGTTCTTTTAGCCTGGCTGGTCTTACGCTGAATTGTGAGTTCTTGGAATCTATCGCTGGATGATGATGATCTCCTTTATCCTCCTAGTGTGGTAGGAAGAAGGTGGCACATACTTAAACACTGTTTTATACATTGCTTCTGATACTCTGGAAGCTTGAGCAGTAGGTTAAACGTTGGGACTCACCGAAGTCCCTTGGATGTGACTGTGTTGGGGGGCAACGAGGGGTGTGGTGGGTTTGTTGTTTTGTTTTTTAGTAGCAAAGACTGGCTGACATGTCAGCCAATAAGACTGTTTATTGTTACCTCACAATACAAATGTGGAGGGGGAAGAAGAGGGCTGGGGGGAGCAAACAGATTCAACAGCAGCAGCTTTTACATAGGAGTCTATGTACCTCACGGTATAAAGTCAGTTAAAAAAATTAAATCCAAGTTTTAAAAGCCCCTTGTGTGATCTAAAACCAGGAGTTTGGGTGAGAACTATATAGATTCTCCCTCCCCCAATACATCTAGAAATATTTTTCGAAGCCACCATTTGATAGGCAGATACATCAGATGTTTTTGGTCTGGTTTTTGTTTTTGTTTGGGTGGTTTATGTTAAAGGTGGGGGGGGGGGGTTGTTTTGGTTTTTTGGTAGTTCTGGTTGCATGATTTCTACACCTTACTTTTTTATGGGCAAGTGTGTCAGCCGTGACAAGTCATCTATCTTGTAAGGAAGCATCACTCCTAACTGGAATCAAATAGTTAAACTTAGAAATTAAGAGCTTTCTTGATTTTTTTTTTTTTATTTTTATTTTTTTTAAAGCCCATTGTAAGAAACACTTTGAAGTCCGATGGAGTTTTGCTTAGGAAGAACAGGTGGATCTAGGCTATGAAGACTAGCTGCCTAATTGGTTAGGTCTCAAATATTAACACCGATTTTAGTTTTTCTTTTGAATAGGTACAGGTTTACTCTAGGTAAAGGAAGTACCTGGTTATTGCTGAAAGAAGTTGACCAGCATTCAGAAGTATTAGTTAATTGCTTGATCCTGTTGAGTCTGTTCAGGTTCATGCACTCTCAGCCGTGCACAGGTGTTGACAAAGGTGTTCTGCTAGTTACTCATTGTAGCCAACGAGAATCAGTTGTCAATGTTTAGTGGAGGAGTGGGTAGTGAGGCCCAGTCACATTGAGCCATTGTGCCTTTTTAAGAACTTAAAATAACAACATTCACCATCCCAATGAAATACTCCAACTTTAAGTCTCTCTGTTGCAAAGATCTGTATCGCACACTCCGCCCAGTTTATTTTCCAGTATGCTGGTGAGTTCCCTATCACAGAGCTGGAAACCCTTGCCTCATTGGTTGAGCACCCAAACTGGTAACACTATGAATAACTGTATCCTTTCATTTGTCATACAAGTTGTACTTGAAGAATTTGATCAAAGGAAAAAAAAAATATTGATGAGGATTTTGGTGCATAATTGTGTGCTACAGAGTCTGTTTCCAGTTGCCTTCAAAACATAACACTGACAAAGTGATTGTGTGTGGTTGAAATAGCAAGTGAGCAGACTGGCATAGAGAAATAGTGTTCAGTTTAATATACTGGAAGAAATGCCAGTTACACCTTTTTAAATACTACTTGTATTGTGAACACTTACTGAGACCAAAAAAAGACAGGTAAAATCCTAGTCCTCTTGAAGTCATTGGTAAGATTACAGTTGACTTCGGGGCCAGGATTTCACCTGAAATCTTCAGACTAATCACAATAAATGATGGGCCAAAAATTAAGGTTATTGGGAAAACATACGCAAAAGCATTTCTGCATCACAAATTGCAGCTATATCTAGAAGTTGAGGCTTATAGCTAGATACTATTAAATTATAAGGAGTAGTAACAGACTAAAAAGCTTTAGAAATTCATGATACTCTGAAAAGGAGCAACAACAGGATTAACAGGATAAGATGTTAATTTAAAATTGTAATATCTTCAGGGGAGGGACGAGGGACACTTGAGTGAATTTATGACCTGAACTGTGGAGAGATCACTGTTCATTACCAACACGTTCATAAAAGAGAGAGGATATTTTGTGTTCTCATTTCCACAAAATCACACCAGTTAGCATTTTCCATATTTAGGTGAAGTTTGCCTGACTGTATTCCTTTCAAATGCAGTTGTTTTCTATTTTCAGTCATTGTTTTGTATGTGGAAGAACAGTTGACACTAAAGCCAAAATGAGCCTTTAAGCTTAAATATTTAGGATTTTGAGTGATCGGACAAAGGAGAGGAGAAAAGAGGCTGGTTTTATTGGTTTATTTTTATAGATACTTTGGATGTTTATCATTACAGCAAGCTGTATTTGTTTTGCTTAGACCTTCTTTGATTTGCTTAGTTTTTTTTGAGTACTTGATTTTTTTAAATATTTTATTTTTACATGTGTATATAGAAGTAACCAAGGGGGGCAGAAATAATTTAGTTTTCTAATAGCTACAGCTTTGATGTGGGAATGGTGGGGCTGACCTTTTCCTGATATGGCATTTATGGACTAATATTAGTTTCTAAACACTTTCTGTGAAGGTGGAGAAGCCAGCATTGTGCTAAGACAAAATGAAACGAAAAGTTTTAAATGAACAGTGTCTCAGTGGATTCTGATAAATCACTTTTGTTCAATGTGGTTTGTCCTTATGATAAGCCAGAGCAATGCCCGTAAGCCTACGTTACAGCCTTCTGTTTGAGTGAGCTACTATGAATATGTCACTATTTTGTCAAACATAGAGTAGAACTAGTCATAAAATCACACACAATTCTGTTTCTGTATTATAGGCCATAGGACAGTATTTTTATGCTACTGCAGACAAGTCTGTTATCAGTCCCATTATATTACAAACCCTCTTAAGATGTTGAGTTTATAACTGTAGTAAGATATTTTAGGCAGAAACTTGGCAGACAGTTGATCCTCAAACAAATATTTTTACCAAACTTGGTTACATTTTAAGTTATGAGTGTGCAAAACAGTAGTGTAACACTTTGGGGATATTTTCTTTAATAAATACTCAGATCAGTCTTTGGAATAGACTCTGTTGCGATTTCCATAAAAAGGGAGAGAATGGAAAATGGGTAATAGAATTAAAATATCTACCAGACAGTCAACTTTTTCAGAGATGCATCTTACTGCATGTTCCTTCTGATGTGTTCAAAGTACCTAACCCTGTAGTGTTGTGAAATTACATCTGCTCACAATGGGTTATTGCTTATTTTGCTTAGTCTCCAAATACTGTTTGTTCAACTGATTGTCAAAGGGTAAATAACGGAAACTTGTATCCATCTATCAGAAGCTACATTTTTCTTAGGCTAATAATTCACATTATAAACAACCTGTATTCAGTACTTGATTGTGTATTCTGGATTGTCCCAAAAGACATATTGTCCAAGATTTAGTTCCAAAATATTTTGAGTGAAAACAAAGAGGACTCGCTAAATCTTACATGCAGCCCCACACCCTAATTGGAAAGGGAAAGTCGTAAGTCGTTTATGGGTGTTTAGTAAAAATCCAGTAAACAAAGTCAAAATTCAAAAAGTCAAAGCATGAACATTTAAGGCACTGGAACCAAAACTTGAAGACACCTAGGGATAAGCAATGAATAGTTGGCAAGCAAAGAATTTCTGTAGGCCTGTAAACTTAAATTCAACAAACTTAGGTACTAGGAAGACTTTCATCTTGTATGCGAAGAGCTTGATCTGCTTCTCACATAGACATCTCCTACCATTTTAATGTCAATGATTTTGATGGAGTTCATCCCAATTCAAACTGTGTAAATCAGGCCCGGTGTTGAGGACACAGTACTCAAGATGAAAGCTTTCATATTATTGCCTTGTCAGAGGATTCTCTGAATGAAGCATTTTGTTGTATTACAAGTTTATGGTCTACAATAGAGCAGATCAGGTGCTCCTGTTAATGGACTCACCTTTGCAAGAACACATTTTTCATATGTTCTCTTTTCATTTCAGATGAGTGACTTTGGAATCAAGAACATGGATCAGGTAGCCCCTGTGTCTAATGTCTACAGAGGAATGCTCAAGGTGAGTTTTCCTAGGAGAGATGCTAAAAACAAGTGGCCTAAACTCCCACTCCATGCGCGTATTTCTCATGTTAGTGAGAGACCTGCATATGCATGCTGAAGAGAGACTATGCTAACTACATTTGGGTTCCTTCTTGCTGATCTTTATTTTTATAAGATAAGGAACAAACACTTTATACCTAGCCATTTAAAGCACCCTGTTTAAACAGGAAAATATACATTTGACAAATCCATCTTAAAGATTGGAAAGCAAGATGAAAAGTCAGATTCTGATGTTCAATTAAGGGCAGCAGGACTGGGTCCTAGATGGTCTTTCTACATTTAACTTCATGCAAGGCTGTCAATGTCTTTTGATAGGACTGATGTATGTAAAAGCATTGGTCTAGTATGGGAAAATTAAATTCTCTGTGGTTATGTGCAAATCTACCAAATGAAAATCTAGAGTAAAATGCATGAAAACAAAACTATTCAGTCTTATATGTAAGAAACGGTTGTTCAAATGTCTTGACTTGCTTTGAAAGATATTTACAAATCGAGGACAGGTTAGAAAAAACAGAATTTAAAAGATTTCATTTTTGTAACTGTCTGCAAGAATATCCATTTAACATACTTTTTGTAATTATTCATGAAAGGTCTTTAGCCAGCATTGGTCGCTTGTATTGTGATGATCAAGGAAAAGCAAATAAAGACCAGTCAAACTTTTTTTGGCCTAGAATGTTATGAGAAATGCTAGTGTTTGAGGCTATATCACAGTCTCGTTTAAAGTCAGTTACAAATGTGTGTTTTTGTTTTTTGTTTCTCCTCTCTCTCACCCCCCCCCCCCAGCCCCCCGGCTTATATAATTTGTTTTGCTAACCAGCAACCAAATATTCATTTCATAGAGCATAATAGGAAGCTTTATGTGAAATTTGTGAATTGAGTGCTCTCCCATGCAGGAGTTATGCCAGGCACAAAGGAAATTGGAGTTAGATGACAATTTGTCGCAATCTTAGGTCAACCCTTAAGACTCTTGGAAACAACTATGCAATGGTGAAATATTCTTTTGGATTTGCTTCAAGTTTTGCACAGTTTATTACTAAATTTATACATAACTGCCATGAAACCACATAATGCCCCACCCCCTTTTTTTTTTTTTTTTGGTTGACTGAGTAAAGTGAGCAGGATTTATCCCATATGGGGTTTTATTACCTATTCAGAGCAATGTTCAAACATTAACTAATACATTTTACATTTCTGAAATATGAGACATGGGTACAGTATGCTTTCTACTCATTCATATACTACTGCTTTTTTTCCCTTCAGTGAGTCACTGTAAGGGTCATTTATTTACACAAAATATAGGAGTTTCCAGATTATGTTGAAAGATCTTGGCCTTTTCTCTAGATACAAATGGTGAATCAGAGCTATTATCTATTAACATTTTAAAGCATTTTTTAGTAGCAGACCAGACCAGCTGGTTTTAACAACTATTTCACAGATAACAAAAATCTTTAAAGTATCTTTACTCTGACTTTTCTTATTGCTATCATATGTACACGAACAATCTTAATTAGTATGAACAATATTACTTACACTGAGCTGACCAGCAGAGTTAATTTTTGGAGTAAATTAGCCATTAGAAGGAAGACTTCTAGATTTTTCTTCATGCCAGCCTCTTCCTTCTGTGGGTCATAGGCTGCTATGAATTGCACCCTGAAATGCATAGCAACTTTTTATAAAAAAACAACCTCAGTACTACATGCAAGCCAAAGTGTCTGTCTGTCTTGAGTTTCTGCCCAGCCAGTTTACAAAACAAAAATAGCACCATACACCAAAATAGAAAAGCTGTAAACTCCAGAAAGGAACCATGGTGGATTCAGGAAAGACCAGATAGTTAATATGCTATTCTGCAAAAACAATTTAAGTTAGTACAGTCAATTGAGACCAAATCTGTGTTCTGCTGAGGAGCATTAGTTTATTCTCACCAGAAATCTGTACCTTGGCATGAACATTTAAGTGGATGCCTAAGCAAATAGGAACTGTCTACAGATATTGTATGTGGTTCCTTAGTCTCTGGCTCCCCTTTACTGCAGATGCTCTCATATGGGTATCATTGCTGTGCTCTGTAGCTTTTCAAATACTGTATCCACAGGTTTGGGTTGTGGCTTTTGGTTTGTGTCTTTAAATCTCATCAATAGGAATGTCTAGTGATAGCCTCTACCTGTTGCTACAAGTCTTGTTCATGACTAGTTGGCATGTTAAGTATAAACTTATTCAGCTCACTTTGGTAGAAAAAGCTTGTAACTTTTAGACCTATTTATGAAGAAGGTGTGCATGTGGCCTGGGAGATTCAGTAATAACTTCGCATGTACACCACCTCCCAACTAGAGCACTTCAGAGTTTGAATGATAGACAAGATTTTCTACAAATATTTGTAATCTTTAATAAAAGTGACTATTAGCTCATCAGAAATCTCTCCTTTTCCCCCTCAAACATTCTATTATAGCCAGTCCTACTTATTCTTGTTAATTGGTTTAAACTAGCAAAGAATCATTAGAGACTGCTGCAGATTAACAAGCTGCTTTTTATGAAATGCAGTAGTTAGTACAATCCGGTTACCTAAACCATAAAAATAAAATAAACTTAAGAAAAGACTCTACTTCATAAATCCTGTAAGACTGTTTGTTTTACAGTCTTAAGTAATATCATTCAGATTGAATATTTCCAAAAATATAAGTAAGCTTACTTGCGTCTTCATGTTGGCAATTATTTTTGTTATACTAGAAGGACTAGTGAATTATAATAATTAGCACTTGAAGTCATCATTAGCTGTCTGTTACAAGGCTAAAAATGATAGTAACATCTCTTTACAATTTAGCAATCCGTTAAAATTTAGATACACACCTGTTAAAATGGCTGCTAGTTGTGCCTACTATAACTAAAGTTTGTAGTTTTCATTGTATCTCAGTAGTCTAGCATCTTTAATTCAAAGATGCAGCTGTCACACTGTAAAGCAGCCTTTTCAAACACAGTCTTGCAGAACGCTGCCTCCAGTCAATAACCGCTCATCCGGGAACTTGATCCTCTCACCTTCATGGAGGTAGAAGCATCAGCGCCTAATTGGGGTCATTTAACTTCTAACAATTTAATGCAGGCAGCATTGTCTTTGAAAAGATTAAACACAGCTCTTTTGCATTTTAGTGTATCAGAGTGGCACAGTCAAAAATCAGAAGGCCAGATCCTCAGCTTATGAAAATCAGCTTAGCTCCAGTGAAGTCAGTGATCTATTCTTATTTACACCATATGTGGGTCTGGCGCAGAAGGACAGGAAACATAACAGAAAAATTAGTTCATCTGCATTATATAAACATAGCATTCATCTATTTTGTATAATGTGTAGCTTAGTATACCACTGTTCATGTTGTAAAAAAAATGATTACCATAGGACATACAGAATGTGCCACACAGGAAAGTGAACGCTGCTGTTAGAATCTTTTGCATTTTTATTTTAACTATGCAACCCTTAACATTGCATTAATAGTTATTTGTTTATACTCTGAACTCATGGTTTAATAGTTTTCAGAAGATAGTACCTGGAGATAGAAAAGGAGTACTTGTGGCACCTTAGAGACTAACCAATTTATTTGAGCATGAGCTTTCGTGAGCTACAGCTCACTTCACGAAAGCTCATGCTCAAATAAATTGGTTAGTCTCTAAGGTGCCACAAGTACTCCTTTTCTTTTTGCGAATACAGACTAACACGGCTGTTCCTCTGAAACCTACCTGGAGATAGTGTACATACAAACAACCTGTCCTCTTTGTAGTTGCTGTTAGCAGTGCTCTAGCAGAATACTTACACTGAATATTCTTTTTCTAAACTGTTTTGCAGCATCAACCAGCATTTGATGCCTTTGACGTCACAAACTCTCTGTTTGCAGGATATTTTCCCTCATTAAATGAAGATCAAACCCTTCAAGAAGTACCAACAGGATTTGATTCGATTTCTTATGGTAAATATTGCTTGCGTTTTAGTTTGATCAGCCACATCAGTCAAAATAGAAAGTGCTGGGTTCTCTAAGTAGGTTTCTGTCACTGTTACCTACGATGCACAACAATAAATCTTTAATAATAGAGAAGACTTTTTTTAATATTACCTTAAGACTTCAGTCCTGCAGACATTTACATACATTAAGTTTTTTCACATGAGTAGTTCTGTTGCTGGCTTACAGCTTCCCATAGCGGAAACCTACACTGTAGTAGGGTGTGTGAATATAAGAGGATCTGTTGTCTGTAGAAGGCCAGTTAGGCATACTGAGGCAGAATTAAAAAGGTCTTTGGATGTGTGTATCTGTTAAGATTAACATTACTAATAATCTTTACCTACCTTTACTTACTTGTTCATTTCTATAACTCAAGTTGGTGTATTTTTAAAATGGGGAAAGACAGAATATTAGAGCTGTATTTAGTCCCGCTGAACTTGTATAAATGTAGAACTCTGCAAGGTCCTTGGCCCCCTTTCCCTCAGGTTTATTGTGCAGCTTTAGAAATTTTGCATAAGTAACACACTGAAATCCTTGTAGCAGGACTGTACTCAAAGTTCTCAATTTACCTTCACCTCAGATCTCTCTGACTGGCTTATTCCCGAGCTACTCCGATACAATGGTGATGGGTGTTGCACCTAAGTTTTTAGTCAGCCTTGCAGTGAGCTCCACATGTGTGCAGAGGTTCACCTGCTTGCTCACGTGGAGCTCATTGCAGACCATAGATAGCTAGATTAGCTTTGCAGATTCATGCACAGTCCTAAAGCCTGACAGCTTATCTCATGCGTATGCACGCTCTCCCTGTGACATTAACTTTATTAGATATAGCAATTATTAACAACATGAGTGCAACCTAACTGTGTCAACTACAATCTGTGCACTTGTTTTCAAAGAGATTTGTGGAAAGTTGAAAGTTTGAAGAAGTAAAGACTAGCTGGTTCCAAGCTAGAGGGAACCCAAGGAAATGTCTGACACCAGTCAGAATATCAAATCCGGGTAACTTTTTAAAATGACAGATAATGCAAAAACAATTTGACCAATTTTCTTCAAACTTTACTTGAAAATGCTCTTTACTTCCAGAAGAAGTCTGGAAATTTTCATGCCAAATCTTTCTAATAAAGAAGATAGGATGGGGGCTAAATTATTCCTTTGAATGGAAGTTGGTTGCAGCATTAATTAAGGAGTTGATTATCTAGATTATGAATTTTATAACAATTTATGGCTGCATAAAATTCAAGTACCAGGATCATCAGCCAGTTACATTTTGGGTCACAAGCTAGTTCCCAATGCCAAATTTATGTATTACACTCTAACCATTGAATAATACATGACAACACCACAAATTCAATTGACTGATCTACGCATGAGTGGGTCTGACATTCAATCTAGTGCAGTGGTAAATGTACCACAGCCAACTCATCATTACTACCCTCCTCGTTACTTGGTTCTCAAGCTCAGTGCAGGGTATCCAGAGTTGACAAGAGGTCACTTGGCTCTTGGATTATAGAGGAGAGAAGAGGAAGAAGCAGTCTTCTTGTTTTCTCATAAAGATAATTGACTCTACATAACAAAGGCATACTTCTTACTACCAAAGTCAATCTGAGTCTGCATCATTAGCTGCGACAATCTTACGCTGGCATAGAAATAACTATTACAGATAGGGTTTGCCATATTTGGTCCCATTTTATAGTTGGAAGCCTCTTTTGCTCGTTCTTTAACATTGTGGATTCTTATTTGTCTGGTCCATTAGCCTAAATGCTAATGTCTCCACTCCTCCCCCTTTCTTTTAGAGTCAAACAGCTGTGAATTGCCTCTCCTAACCCCATGCAGTAAGGCTGTTATGAGTCAAGCTTTAAAAGCTACTTTCAGTGGCTTTGCAAAGGAACAGTGTCGTCTGGGTATCCCAAATAGTAAGTGCTTTCTTTTTATAATCTTTTTAGTGCAAAATGATGCTGATTGGTTAGATGACGAGAATAGCAAGTAAACTGAGCTCATCCACTGATTAAAAGAATATAGAAGGAAAAATTAGGGCAGTGATTTAAAATTAAGACTAAATCATTGATATTTGAGTTTCAGAAGAAGTAGATATCCTAGATAACTCTTTTTTTAAACATGAGCCCTCACTCTCAATATCTTTTTACCTAAACTTTTATTTTAGGTTCTTATGAACATAAATATCAAGAGTTGCCTCTAAATGTTACGCATGTTTCTTTTCTCTTCCACAACCACCCCCCCATTTGCAGATCCTTGGCTATGGACAGAACAGCAGGTTTGCCAATGGCTTTTTTGGGCTACCAGGGAGTTTAGTTTGGCAAATGTGAACTTTCCTCAGTTTGTCATGAACGGCCAAGACTTGTGCAACCTGGGCAAGGAACATTTCTTGGAGCTGGCTCCTGATTATGTAGGTGACATTCTGTGGGAACACCTGGAACAGATGATAAAAGGTAACTAGAGAGCCAAAAAGGACGACTCCTCTGTGATCCTAACAAAGCAACCCCCTCAAACAAAACGGTGATGTGTTTCACCGAGTTGTGGTTTTGTAATTGCCTAAAAAAACTCAAAGTGAATTTTTAAAATCTTTAAACATTATCAAAGGTAGCTTTAAAAAATCATTTTCTGGAGAGCATAAAAGCAATCAGTCGTTTCTAGCTTGTCAGTTACTGCCAAACTGCAGTTGTCTCAGCAGCAGTTTTATACAGAATAGTCATTGATATAAATGAGATTAGGATGGATCTGATGCAATATATAATTCAAATCAGAAAAAAAATGTAACCAAAAGTCAAACTAGGTCAAGTCATGTTACTAGTGACTTTTACCAGTGTTTTGGAATAAGTCAGTGAATGAATGTAAGAGTGACAGAGACTTCAGGGTCTTTTCATTGAGACAAAAGAAGGATGAGGACAAATTTTGTCGAGGGGCTTCACATGGATGCAGGGATCTACCCACCCTAATCCTCCAACAAGATGAGAGCCAAAACAACTACATTGAAAAAAGGGAGAACTGTTTTTTTCTTTTCCCATTGTTGCCATAAGTTGTCTTTTTCATTTAAGCATTTGTTAAACAACTTTGGAAGTTGAGTGTTCTTTTGTCTAGCTGGATTTTGGTGATTTTGCTTTTTGTCTTTTCACTGTTATAGTCCTGTGTGTAAAACACTTACCTAATGCCCAGATCCTACAAACTTTTAAGTATGTGTATATAATCCCCATGACTTCTACGGGACTGCACATGTGCATGAAGTTAAGCAATTGCTGAAATGTTTGCAGGATCAGGGCCTTAAATGTGTTGCAGATTTTTAGACCGATTGAATATTAGAATTCCATCGGCATGAAATTTTCCCTACCAGCAGTTATTTCTTTGAAAGTTTGTCAGGTAACTAACTTCATGACTGTCACAAATACCTCCAGTTGCCTTGAAGTTCCCCATAATGTCCTGGTCAGATGTATAAAAAGGATATTTGTTCTGTTTTCAGACAGTCAAGAGAAGACACAGGACCAATATGTTGAAAACTCTCATCTTACCTCAGCCCCACACTGGGTCAATAACAACTCATTAAGTAGGTATCCTGATTTGGTTGACGTTTAAAATCCCTTCCTTAGCATTATGCTGCACGTGATATCACAAACTGTAATTCTGCAAGTTGGTTTGAACACTGAAAATAATCAGACTAGATATTTTTTTGAGGCAAATCTTGGAGTCTGTGAAACCAGGAGGAAAGAAGACAGTGTGAAAGCTGTGGTTAATCAAAGTCAAGTCTTGATTTTTGGCAATTCATTTACCAAAAACAAATTTGGGATTTCATAACTTTTCTGCACAAATAAATGGTTTAGTACAAACTGGCCATTACCACAACTAGCAGGCTGAATCTAAAGCAGCACTGATGGGGGTCCAGCAGGAGTCATGTTTTTGGTTCTTTTTGGTAGAAGAAAGGTGGAGGCAATATGAAGCCTCAGAGGGCAGATGGAGTAAATAGGGAGGGAGAGGACAGGGACCAGTGGCCCTCTCCAACATCTCTCTTCCCCCCCCTACCCCAGGCTGCTTATGTGTATGAGGTTGTATTTTCAGCACAGTATTTCTCAATCTGCTGATCAGTTAACAAGAGAGGAATCCTGCTATGGACCACCTAGCCCCCTCCCCAGCACTTTCTCTCTGTTCTGTCATTCTGGGAAACCACAGAGAGCTCTGTGCGCAACTGGCAATCTGTAAATCATACGGCAGATACTGGTTGTGTGATACAGAACCTGGTTAAACCCTAGTGCAGTCAATTGGAGTCCTTCCGCTGACTTTAGTAGACTTTTTGGATTAGACCCATACCCTATCGTTCCTACCCAGTCAAGTTTTCAGCTTAAAAATATTTTTTTAGTGGCATAACTGTATGTCTGTGTTGCAGTGGAAGGGTTGACTTGGTTTTGTTCTGCTTACATGAAGGTATTACGTTTATGAGAAGGATTGTAGTGAATAACTAATCCATTTCCCCCCCCCTTGTCATTTTAGGTTTTAATACAGAACAGGCCCCTTATGGTATGCAAATGCATAGCTACCCCAAAGCCAGCCTCCTGAGTGACTTATGTCAGACTTCTGCAGGACCAAATCTCCTCAGCCCAGATCAAGAATTTTCAATGTTCCCCAAAGCTCAGTTAGAGACCGTCAGCGTGAACTACTGCTCCATGACCCGCGACTTCACAAACAATCTGAACTTGCTGATGGATAACTCTGGTAAGATTTACCTTCTCCATTTGCTAATTATTAGTTTAAGGCTCTATACTCTGTGCACTCTTTTTTACTTAATGTGGCTTATACATACAAAATAAACTGAACAACAACCATTATTTAATTTTTTAGGTAAGCCCAGAGAGCATGAATCAAGTGACAGTGGCACAGAAAGTTATGAAAGCACAGATTCTCAACTTCAGTCCTGGAACAGCCAATCCTCTTTAGTGGATGTACAACGTGTGCCCTCTTATGAAAGTTTTGAAGATGATTGTAGTCAGTCTCTATGTCTGAACAAACCTACAATGTCTTTCAAAGACTACATTCAAGAAAGAAGTGATCCTGTAGAGCAAGGGAAACCAGTTATACCAGCAGCAATTCTAGCAGGCTTTACAGGCAAGTGATGTCACACAATATATCTCTTGTTCTCTTGCTTCTGATCCCTTGTGTGGGTATATGTCCGTTGTGATAAAGGAAGAATGTACCTCTCAACCTCCCTTACTCATTGTTTGTTCATGAATGATTTATTCACTAATAATGCAATATTCTAGTAAAAAACAGCCTGTTTTAAAACCTGGAATGCATTCTATTCTTGGTAGAGCTCCATCTGCCTAAAAAGAAGGGAAACTCCAGACAAAACAGTCAGTTCAAGGAGTTCACCAGCACTGACTCACCCACTAAGCACTCGTTCCTAGACTACTTAACTCAGGCAAAATGCTCATCACTGGAAGCTTCATCAGGGCATGGACTTTAGTTTAGGACCTTTAAGGTTTTAAATATAGCTGCCAGCAGAAAGGAATGAAGTGAAGGGGTGGGGGAGAAGTAAAGCTTGGTTCAAATAACTACTTTGAATTAAAATAGTGTACTCAGTTCATTATAATGTATCCTTCAGCAGATTCCTGTTACAGAAACAGTCGTTCTTTGCCTCAGCCAAACATCTTAAAATTATATCAGTTAGATAAATCTTAAGATTATGGTATGTGTCTTACTATAGCCTTTAGTTGTGGCTAATAATTTTACTCTTCTTGGTTTTTACAGGCAGTGGACCTATACAACTGTGGCAATTCCTTCTGGAGTTACTAACAGACAAATCCTGTCAGTCATTTATTAGCTGGACTGGAGATGGATGGGAGTTTAAACTTGCTGATCCAGATGAGGTATGTGGCCAGTTGTGACTTAATAAAAACCTAGGGCCTGATCCTCCATCAGAGAAAGGCACACCCCTCAAGGCAAAGTGTTTACAAGATCAGGAGTCTTTGCGTCTGTAAACGTTTTACTGCTGGGTGACTTCGAGAGCATCCGTCAAGTACTTAAATGTACATAAAAGTTTAGTGTATTATAGTCCTGTCTTTGCATGCTGCCTTTACATTTAACTTGCAGCATTGCTTAACTGTTTAAGGAAAGTAACTTAACTGATAAAACCCCTGGGAATTGAGAGAAACATGGCAGATGCACAGAATAGTGAGGCCTTCAAAGGTCTGGGTTTTAGATATACATCAAATGACTGCTGTGATCATTTGGAAATTAGTCACTAACAGAATAAACTCCAACCCTCTAATTGACGATGGAACCCCTTTCTGACGCAGTTAAAGGGCCTGATCCGAGGCCTACAGAAGTCAATGAAAAGACTCCCATTGCCTTCAGTGAGCTTTGGATATGGCCTTAAGTGACTTAACCACCTCACGTGTGAGTTGTGTAGCTCTTTGAGAGAGAGGAATTCACCTTAACCTCTTCTCTTGCACTAACAACTTTTTTTTTTTTTAAACCCTTTGTGGCAAGGTGCCTCATGTGCCCATCCACTACCTATTATCATGCTCATAGACCAGAGGTGGGCGAAGTACAGCCGGTGGGCCATATGTGGCCCGTGGGACTGTCCTGCCTGGACCCTGAGCTCCTGGCCGGGGAGGCTAGTCCCTGGCCCCTCCCCCGCAGCAATGCCACTGCTGTGCTGCCAGCGCTCTGGCCCACCACTCCTGCCGGGTGGTGGGGCTGGCTCTGGCGGGCTGCGAGCTCCTGCTGCTCTGAGCAGCATGGTATGGGGGTGGGGAGCAGGGGGTTTGGATAAAGGGCAGAGGTTCTGGGGGGGCACTCAGGGGACAGGGAGCGGGGTGGGGCTGGGGTCGCAAGGGTGTGGATAGGGGTCAGGGGGGCACTCAAGGGATAGGGAGCGGGGGGGTTGGATAGGGGATGAGGTCTCAGGGGGGAGGGGGGCAGTTAGGGACAGGGGTCCCAGGAGGGGGTGGTCAGGGGACAAGGAGCAGGGGGGATTGAATGGGTTGGAGATTCTGAGGGGGGCAGTCAGGGGATGGGAGGGGGCAGATGGGGGCAGGGGCCAGGCTGTGTGGGGAGGCACAGCCTTCCCTACCTGGCCCTCCATACAGTTTCGCAACCCCAGTGTGGCCCTCGGGCCAAAAAGCTTGGCCCATAACTCAGATTGTTTGTTTAAGACTTCAGCTCTTACTCACCCAAGTATCCTCACTGATTTGATGGCATTTGAACCAACAAAATGACTTGGTTGCTAAATTAAGTTTAATTTTCCTATTTATCAGCTAACTGAGATAGTATGCTTTAATTGGTTTGTTCTGCCTTTCTCTCTTCTTCCCCCACCTTGGGGCTGAAGGTGGCACGACGGTGGGGAAGGAGGAAAAACAAGCCAAAAATGAACTATGAGAAACTAAGCCGAGGCCTGCGCTATTATTATGACAAGAACATCATCCACAAAACATCAGGGAAACGCTATGTGTACCGGTTTGTATGTGACCTACAGAACCTGCTGGGGTACACGGCAGAGGAACTTCATGCCATGCTGGGAGTACAGCCAGACACAGAAGATTGAGCACTGCGATATCGTGCAAAACTGGCAGAGATTGCAAGATTTTGAACTGTGACTAGGACCCATCTGCAGTCAGTCTTTTCAGATTGGTGCAACTGTTAAGAAATAAGGACCTTGAACTGGTTTTGTAATCAGGGAAAGCTGAAGGAAGAAGTGGCCTTATTTCATCAGATGCAATGGCTTCAAGTATTGCTGCACCAAGTCCCTTGGAGCAGTGTGGAGGATGACACAGTGCCTAGCTCTAACCTGAAGACATGAAGATGCTCTAGGGTTAAATGTTTTGGCCTTTTATTATGGGTTGTTTTTAATACCAAAGGTTGGAGAGTGACCAGTTATACATCAGAATTCTAGCTCAAAACTTAACCACGTTGCTTACATCATGATATGCATTTTTAAAAAAAAACCTACTTAACCTTTTATTTTAAAGCCGAGAGTGAGACAGTTTGTATTGTTTGTGTAATAAAATGTACATGTTAGGTACAGAAACAAAAATTTTGTTTTATGTTTCAAAATTTGGTGTAGCAATTATAATTTTTTTTCTTCCGAGGGGGGGGAATCACACCATTTCAAGTCAGTTTGTATATATTTATATGTTGCTTCTTGAAGTTCTTTAATGTTCCTATTTAACAGATATTGTATAATGTAATTTAAACTAATTGTATGTGTGTTTGAAATAGGAAGAATGTAAATATTTGTCTCATGTTTGAATAGGACATACAACATTTTGCAGTTTGAGGAAGTCTGTTAAATGCCTTGTACATGATTATACTGTAGGCCTGTAATATGACAGTCAGATGGAGGGTATTGGTGAATATTTTGCCCTGACTGCAGTTGGTAAACTTTGTTCATTTTGGCATTTTTACAAGAAACTGATGTAATCTGGGGCATAAAGGGCCTGTTTCGCCTAACTGAAAAAAAAATTAACATGGATAAGTGGAATTTTTCTTGATAAATGGCGCATGTTTTTTCACTTCTATGCATGTCCTTTTAAAAACAATTTATATACAAGCTTTTTTTTGAGTTGTCTTTTTTTTCCCCTCTGGTTTATCCCATATGATTAAAATATGAATTCTATTTTTGGAAATAATTGTGGCTCCTTTTCAGAGATCAGGAGGGATTTATGTAGCAGCTAATTTTTATTGCAAAAAAAAACAATTCATTGAAAAAATGTAATTTGTAAGAGCCTTATTTTTTATCTGAGCTTGATGTACACTGAAATGTGTTGTACAGTGTGGGGGGGGGGAACGACAAATCTTTATTAAAACATCTTAAACAGAAAAAATGGTGTGCATAATTTCTATGAATTCCTAAACATTTTGATTGGCTCTTTTATAGACCTTTTTTTGGGAACAGAAATACCTTCTAAAGTCACAGACCTGATTCTCAGACCAGTGTAAACTGGAAGGAAGTCTCTTGAAAAGAGTTGAAGTACCTCAGTGTACAGCTCTTGTGGGAGGAGAATCAGGCAATAACTCTTTGCAGTGGTGATTAGCTTTGTACAGAATATGTTGCACAAGGCTCTATGCCCTTCCTCAAACAGCCTTGTGCTGGCCCTCTCCCCCTTTACTGCTAGAGAGTACAGTACATATGTCTGATTCAAGTTACAAGAACTTATGTTCCCCCATCAGCTGGAGAAGTTAATATTTTTCAAGAGTTTTAACTCAAACTGGCATTTGATCATTTGGATTAAGGTAAAGTGTGAATTTTAAAGTGCAATTATGGACCACTTATTCCAGAATAACTCCATGTTCTGTAGAAATGCTATTACAACCTAGTCCCAAACTGGTAAGCATGTGTGTAGGGTGCATAACTCCCACTCATGTTGGAAAACATTCCCAACACCTCTTGGTATGGAATAAGCTACTTTGCAAAGACCATAAGTCATTTGTTTCTCACCATAAGATAGTATGCCATAACATGCCAGTCATTTTTAAGCTTGCCTCTCTCTAAAGGAGGAAAAAATGGAGGAAACAATATGATCAAGTGTTTTTAAAAGATAAATTGTCCTTGTTTTAGTAGTTACAAAAATAAGGGCCAAATTCTGCTCTCATTATGCTGGATTCAACCTACTGTAAAAGCAGAACTTGTAGTTTTATAAAGTGCTCTTTAAAACAAAATACAGTGGGAAAAGTTCTCAAACTTGGCCTTCTAAATGTCTTGGACTAGCTGGTCAGAACCTCCTCTGTCAATGGCTGTAGGATGCACCATGAACTTTGAGGGCTAAATCATGCACAGGGACTGCCCTTCTTTCTAGCCTTTCCATGGCCCTTACAAGGGAAAGAGGGGGAAACACTGTGCTCACCCCCCCCCATTTCAGGCCCACATATGGGGTCTGCTGAATTCAGGCTGCAGTTTGTAGCTGTCTTATCTGCAAACAGAGGAATGTATAGCTTGAACAGAAATACAGTTTCTAGGGCCTGAGCCAAAGCCCAATAAAGTCAATGGAAAGGCAGCCAAAATTGTCAGTGGGATTTGTAATCTACTACACTGTAGATACAGAAATGACTTGCTTCTAGCCTGGGTTTCTAGGATGGGTGTGGGGGGCAGGAGCCATCAATGTAGTATTTCCTTTACAGCCATGTTATTGTCTACAATCATATTTTCCTCTTTCTGTGCCACTCATATGCTTTGATTATAGGGTATTTCAGCCCTAATCTCACTTTCAGTTCATAAAAGGTTCATTTTCAATATGCATTTCCTAAACACAGCCCTGTCACTCATTTAGAGCTGAAGCCTAATAGTTTATTATTTATATGATGGGCATTTAAACACAACTTCCTTTTTTCTATTTCCCAAATTCAACAAAAAATGTTACAGCAGTAGGGGGACACAGTACTCAAGATCTAAACTGCCCTCATTAACATGTCTCTTCTATTACTTTAATCCTGAGTGGTGTTCTCATGGGATGGACTCTACCTGAGTAGTGAGGGAAATGGATTTCTGGGATGGAGATTGGCACAACTGATTAAAAGTGCTTTAAACTAAGTTCTCTAGAGAAGGGTGGGAGATGCTCATGTGATCTCCACACCAGATTGAGAGGAAGGAAAATCAAGTAAGAAAGGATACAGCCATGGTTAGGAGAATGGACATTAAGGGGAAGGATAGTGCTGACACCAGTCAGATAAGCAATACTGGCCATAAAATGACAGTGTATCCAGTCAGGCAAAGAATGTTGCTGCTTGGCTTCGCCCACAATTAAGATGTTTGTACACCAGTGCAAGGAACCTGACTAACAAAATGGATGGACTAGAACTACTGGTGGAGGAAGTGAAACCAGATATTAGGGTAAACAGAAACATGGTGGCATTGTAATCATGACTAGAGAACAGGTATTGAAGAGTATGTGCTATTCCGGAAAGACAGAAATAAAGGGAAAGGTGGTGGAGTACCCTTGTATATTGATGAGTTGAACTGTAAAGAAATTAGAAGTGATGGAATGGATAAGACAGTCCTGTTTGAGCCAAAATCACTTTGGAGGAAAACTAGAGGTTCCCCTGATACAGTTCTTGGAGTGTGTTACAGACCACCAGGATCCAATTTAGAGATGGATTGAGACATCTTAAATGTTTTTAATGAAATAAATATTACTGGTAATTGTGTGATTATGGGAGACTAACTTCCCAGATATAGATTGGAGGACAAGTGCTACTACTAACTGTAGGGCCTACATTTTCCAGGATGTGATAGCAGATTTCTTCATCAAACAGTTGCTGAACGAACAAGAGGTGCTGCAATTTTAGATTTGGTACTGGTGAGGAGTGAGGACCTCACAGAAAAACTGGTTGTAGAGGTTCGAGTGACCAGGAACTCATTCAGTTTAAACTAAATGGAAGGATAAACAAAAATAGATCTGCAACTAGGGTCCTTGATTTCAAAAGAGCTAGCTTTAATAAATTAAGGAAATTAGTTAGGGGTGTGGACTGGATCAAAGAACTCAAGGATCTGAATGTGGAGGAGGCTACTTTATATCAAAGTTGCAGAAACTATCTGAAGCCTGCATCCCAAGCAAGGGGGAAAAATTCATAAGGAAGGGTTGCAGACCAAGCTGGATGAGGAAGCATCTCAAACAGGTGATTTGAGCAAGCATCTCAAACAGAGAAAGCAGCAAGCCTACAAGGAATGGAAGATGGGTGGGATCAGCAAGGAAAGCGGCTTCTTGTCAGAAAGGGCTGGGATAAAGTGAGAACTGCCAAAAGCCAAGCAGAGTGGGACCTTGCAAAGGGAATTAAAACCAATAGTAAAATGTTCTATAGCCACACAAATAAGAATAAAACTAGGAAAGAAGAGGTGAGAATGCTAAGCACTGAGGATGGGGGTGGAGATTAAAGATTAACTAGGCATGGCCCAACCCCTAAACAAATGCTTTGCCTCAGTTTTTAATGAGGCTAATGAAGAGCATAGGGGCAATGGCAGGGTGGCTAATCGGAACAAGAATATGGAGTTAGAAATTACTACATCAGAGGTGAAAGTCAAACTCAAACAGTTAAGCAGTATTAAATCAAGGGGGGGGGGCGGGTAATCTCCATCCAAGAATATTAAAGGAACTAGCACATGAAAGTGAAAGCCCAATAGCAAGGATTTTTAATGAATCTGTGAACTCAGGAGTCTTACCCTATGAATGGAGAATTGCTAATAAAGTTCCTATTTTTAAGAAAGGGGGGAAAAGTGATGCAAGAAATGAGAGGCCTATTAGTTTGACCTCAATTGTGCACAAGTTCTTGGAACAAATTTTGAAAGAGAAAGTAGTTAAGGACATAAAAGTGAATGGGGTAAAATACAAGATGGTTTTACAAAAAGTATATTGTGCCAGACAAACCTGATCTCCTTTGAGAAGATAACTGATTTTTTAGACAAAGGAAATGCAGTAGATCTAATCTACCTGGATTTCAGGAAGGCATTTGATACAGCTCCACAAGAGAAATGGTTAAATTTGAGAAGATGGGGATTAATATGAGAACTAAAAGGTGGACAAGAAACTGGTTACAGGGGCAACTACAATGGGTCATACTGAAAAGTGAACTGTCAGGCTGGAGGGAGGTTATTAGTGGAGTTCCTCAGAGATCAGACTTGGAACCAATCTTATTTAACATTTTTATTACTGATCTTGGCACAGAAAGTGGGAGTGCACTAATAAAATGTGCAGATGACACAAAGTTGGGATGTACTGCCAATACAGAGGAGGACCGGAATATCTTACAAGATGATCTGGATGACCTTGTAAACTGGAGTAATAGAAATGGGATAAAATTTAATAGTGCAAAGTCATGCATTTAGGGACTAACAAACAACAAGATTTTTTGCAATAAGCTGGGGACTTACCAGTTGGAAGTGACAGGAGTAGAAAGACCTGGATGACTGGTTGATCACAGGATGACTATGAGCTGCTAATGTGATGCGGCTGTGAAAAAGGCTGATGTGGTCCTGTGGTGCATCAGGCGAGGTATTTCCAGTAGAGACAGGGAAGTGTTAGTACCATTAAAAAGGCACTGGTGAGACCTCATCTGGAATACTGTGTGCAGTTCTGGTCTCCCATGTTTCAGAAAGATGAATTCAAACTGGAACAGGTGTAGAGAAGGGCTACTAGGCTGATCTGAGGAATGGAAAACCTATCTTATGAGAGGAGACTCAAAGAGTTTGGTTTGTTTAGCCAACCAAAAGAAGGCTGAGGGGAGATATGACTGCTCTCTATAAATACATCAGAGGGATAAATACGAGGGAGGGAGAGAAGTTATTCAAGTTAAGCACCAATGTGGACACAAGAACCAAGAGCTATAAACTGACCATCAACAAGTTCAGGCTTGAAATTAGGCAAAGTTTCTAACCATCAGAGGGATGATATTCTGGAACAGCCTTTCAAAGGGAGCAGTGGGGGCAAAAACTTAACTGGCTTCAAGACTGAGTGTGTTAAGTTTATGGAGGGGATGATATGGTGGGATTGACTACAATGGCATGTAGCCGATCTGCAGCTGCTAACAGCAAATAGCTCCAACATCCAGTAATGGGACACTAGATGGAGAGGGCTGAGTTACTAGAGAATTCCTTCCCAGGTGTCTCGCTGGTGGGTCTTGCCCACATGCTCAGAATCCATATCTGGGGTCGGGCAGGAATCTTCCCCCCAGGTCTGAATGGTAGAGACCCTGGGGTTTTTTTTGCCTTCCTCTGCACCATGGGGCATGGGTCACTTGCAGGTTTAAACTAGTGTAAATGGTGGATTCTTTGTAAGCTGAAATCTTTATATCATGATGTGAGGACTTCAGTAACTTAGCCAGAGGTTAGGGGTCT